GCCCGGTGGGAGGGCAGGGGAGCGCGCTCAGGGCTGCCCTCCAGCCCTCTCCGTTCGCTTGCTCTCCACAGCCCAAGCCGGGCACCCGAGCCTGCAGCCCACAGAGGTGGCTTCCGGAGACGCAGGGGCCCCGTCTGCCCCTCGGGCTGCGATCTGCACCCTCAGCCTCCCCTTCAGTCCTCTCTCCCCCGTCCTCCACCGGTTCTGCCCGCCTCAGGTGGGGTCGGACCCTGGCACTGTCACTCTGCGCAGGAACGGGCGGCCGACGCCTACCTGGAGAAGGTGTTGTCGAAGACGAGCATGTAGATGCCGGGCGTGCGCACCTTCACCTGGCCCTGGACGCTCTCCTTGTGTGAGTGGCACCGGGTGGTGGGGATGAGGACCTGGGGGCGGAGCAGAGGAGGAGGCTCAGGTGCAGGGGCTCCAAGGGGCGCGGCTGAAGAGCCTCGGACACACCTGGCTTTGGCGACACCGCGTCCCACCCCCCTGAGCCCCGGAGCCTCTTACCCTTGCTTCTATTTCCCTGCTGCACTCCCTCGCTGACTTGTGGAACCACCCCTGCACCCCTGGATGAAACCAACTCCATGATGGTTCGGGATCTCTCACACGCCGCTGAATTCCATTGTGTGTGGTGTCTGCCCACCAACCCTATCGGCCTGTCGTCTGTCCCTGTGTCCGCAGCAGGTCTTGGTGGCAGAGCCGTGCTGGCTGTGTGGAATGAGTTTGGAAGGGCCTCTCCTTCTGTTTTATGGAATACTTTAGGAAGCACTGTTGTTAGCTGTTCTTTAAAAGCCTGGTAAAATTCACCAGTGAATCTGTGTGGTTCTGGACTTGTCCCTGTTGGGGGCTTTTATTAGTGCTTCAATCTAATTGCTTCTTTTTTTTTTTAATTGCTTCTTATTCACCTAAGTTTTCTAGATGCTCCTGGTTCAGTTTTGGTTGTCATATATTCAGAAGTTTCTAGGCTTTCCAACTTGCTGGCTACGTGATCGCGGATGGCCCTGGATCTCGGTGGTAACGGCTGGGCTCCCTCTTTAGTCCCTAACTGTGTTTACCTGGGTCTTGTGGTTGGTGTGGCTAAGGGTTTTTCTGTGCCGTACTCTGAGTCTCTACTTCCCTTCTTTCTGCTCTGAGCTTAACGTTTTCGCCTTCTGCCGATTCTGGGTTTGCTCTGGTGCTGTTTGTCTGTGTGATGCAGACCAGCACTGCGAGATGATTTATTCGAGATCTGCCTGACTTTACAGTGCAGACGCTCAGAGCTCCCCGCTTCCCCTGCACCCATGGCTCCCCGGCTGTGTGCCCATTCGCATCCCAGGACTTTTCTGGCCGCCCCTGCCCGGACGCCCCTGCCGGCCTCTGTTCCTCCCACACCAGACCTCCACACCGCCGTTCCCAGCATGGGGGCACAACCAGTGCATCCTGCCCTGCTGAGACTTTCGGGCCTTGGACTCCGTGGTGTGCGTCTCCCAGGGTGGACCCCACCTCTGTCCCCGGGCACGGCAGGCGCTCGGTGATGAGTCTGGTGACGAGGGGCCCATCACAGCTCCTGCGCTCCTGCCTCTGTCACCAGGACCTGAGTTGCTGCCACCACACTGCGCTCACTGCCTCCCACGAGTCCAGGCTGGCAGGGCCCGGGCATCCTCAGGACAGAGGCTGAGCAGGTGCCTGGGACAGCCGAGGTTCCTGCTGCCCCATCTCGGCTGAGGAGGCAGCTGTGAAGGCAGAGGCATTGGCGGCCCGGGGACGTGGGCTCTGTCTGGCCCCTGGTGTCCACTGTGGAGGACAGCGCTCGTCACCCAGGGAGGGAGGGCACCGGGAGCCAGAGATGAGGCAGCACTGTGGGGGCCCAGGCTCCAGGGTCACAGGACGTGGTTGTCACTGGGCGGCCACAGCGGGGCAGGTGCACAGTCGGACCTGACATGTCCGCTCTCTCCACCCAAGTTCTGGGTCCACTGGAGGGCACAGCTGCACGGCTCTATGAGGAAATCGTCCTTCCCCCGAGCCCTGGGCCTGGGCTCCCCTCGGCCTCTCCTGGAGCTCCCAAGGTCAGGCTCCGCCTGCCGCACGGGAGGGACCTCTGGCATCGGAGACGGCCGTCCTGAGCCGCGGTCTTCCCCTGCCATCCAGACGAGGCGTGCCCACGTGGGCACAGGGCTGGCAGGGTGCCCGCTGCCTACCTTGCACTGGTCCAGCGGTGTGTCCTCCGCCTCCCGGAAGACCACACTGAACGAGATGCTCTTGGGGTCGGAGGAGAAGACCCAGCTGATGGCGAGGCCAGCCTCGGCCACGGTGATGGGGATGAGGCTGTAGGTGCCAGACCTCACGAACAGCTCCCTGCTGCCCTCGCCGAAGCTGGCGATCTCGTCCACGGTCAGGGGCACCTTGATCCTAGGGCAGAGAGGCAGAGGGACCTGACCACCGGTGACGGTCTGCGTCCGTGGCCAGCTCTGCCACCGAGGCCCCGCTCTGTGTCACACAGGGTGAGGGAGATGGCGGCGTAACCAGCTGAGGTGGCCTCCCCGGGCTGTGTGCCGTGTTCTAGCTCACACTGGGCAGGGGCAGCCTCCTGCAGAAGTTCTGGCCTCATGACGGTGGACGCCGCTCTTGGGGCTCTGTGAGGAACCAGGGACCTGGCTACGTCCCCCTGGAGCTGCAGGGAGCAGGGCCTGCAGTGCCTTCGCTCTCCTGAACCCCATTCCTCAGCTGTGCGGCGGCCGGCCTTGTGTGTGACCACAGCGGGGAGAGGGAGGCCAGGTTGGTCCCAGTCTACGACCAGGAAGCTCCGGTTCAGACAGAGGGAGAAACGCGGCCCTAGTCCACGCAGGTCTGACCCGAAGCCACACCTGCCACTGCGCCGAGCTGCCTTTCCTGGAGAAAATGTCTTCCTGGCCCATTTTAAGGAAGGATGGACGTGAAGGCTCAGGGGGATGCTGCTCCGATGTTAACGGATCTTTCTCTCTAATTATAGACTCCAAGAAGCAGAGCAGGCAGGAGAGGGTTCTGCTGTGCAAAAGTGGTGGATATCTGACTGCATGCCGTGTATATGCCATGGCCCTAGCACAATGTCCCTCCTAAGCCCGGGTCACTTTCTCCCCTGGGGCTCCAGACCTCTCCAGGCACCAGCACCCTCTCGGCCAGGGCAATCTCGGCTCTCCAGAGGAGGTGCCAATGAAAGGCTTTGGCAGCTCTGCCTGGATATCATGATAAATAAGAGAAGCCCGCTACTGAGCTGGGTGTGGCAGCACACGCCTGTGATCCCAGCACTCTGGGAGGCTGAGGCAGGAGGGTGGCAAGTCTGACTGCAGCCTGGGCAAATGAGCGAGGACCATTTCAAAATAAAAAAATATAGCAGGAGCTGGCAACACAGGTCAGTGTGAAAGCCCTGGGTTCAATTCCCAGCAGTGAGGGTGTGGGGGAACCAGAGAGAGAGAAACCAGAGAGAGAGAGAGAGAGAGAGCTGCTACTGTCTACAAGACCCATATCACAGGGTAAATTCCACCACATGCCTCCAGAAATTCTAGCTGACATGAGCCAAGCATGCCCACAAACTCTCCGTGTTCCGAGCTAGCCCTACTTTTAACATGTTTCAGATTCTCCTGTAGTGCACTCGCCAAACCTTAGTTCGCTGTTCCTCTCTGAAAGAGTCAGGGAAGAAAACGTCAGCTCCAAGGACTAGTCGTGCTCTTTGTGTTTCATTCATGGGGCAGCTGAGCTCTTCTCGGTATTGATTTCATCCTGCTGTCCTTAAGGATTTGCCGAGCCTGTGTGTTTAGTCATTTCTTAATCTCATCATTTTTCTTATCTCTTTACTTGAAGGTATATTTTCAGAAAGTTTGATAATGAACAATTTCAAACATGCCCTTGATTTTCCTCACTAAGTGCAACTAAATCATCTGTACCTAATTCGGGAGAGAGACTGCAGTACAGTGGACCCTCAAGTTACGACCAGCCCGGCATACAGTCAAAGTCTTGAGTTACAGCCCGAAACTCGGCTGCTTGTGCGCGCAGGAGTTCTCAGATACAGACCTAACCCTTACAGAGTTCTGGAAGGAACGTGACTGCATCCTGTCCCCTGTGGGGTTCACTGAGAAATCCTGGGCCTGGGTCTCTCCAAGGACACTGAGCTCTGAATTACACAGGAGAGAGACCCTGAAGGCTGTGCAGAGGAGCCTGAGCCTTCATTGACCAACCTGAGTTACGACCAGCCCTGGGAAATGAACTGAGTTCATAAGTCAAGGGTCCACTGTACATGTGAAGGGCAGGGAAGACAAAGAGGCTGGCCAGGGACCCCAAGACCCCAGGAAATGACAGCGGCTCAGCAGTCACAAGCCCCACCTAGGGGTCACGCTGGGGGCCGGAAAACCCTGACTCACACAAGGAATTGCAGACACCAGAAGCCAGCGCTGACGTCAATCAGATTCGAGAACCTCCTAAAACACTGTCACAGAAATACCGCAGTAATGACTTCAAATATTCTTGAAACAATGCAAAAGTAAAAAGAAAGAAAAATCACGTCTAGAAATACTAAAAATTATGACAAACTGGGCATGGGGGTGCACACCTGTAATCTCAGCACTCAGGAGGCTGAGGCAGGAGGACCGCAAGTTCAAGTCCAGCCTGGGCAACTTAACAATTTAGCGAGACTCTGTCTCAATATTAAAAAAAAAAAATTTAGAAAGGGCTAGGAATGGAGTTCAATTTGAGGGGTCTGGTATAATCCTTGATATGGCAGACAAACAAATCAAAACAAAACAAAATGAAAAACTTACTGGATGGGCTTAAAAGATGAATAAATCCAACAGTTAAACTCGAAAAGAGAAAAGCAGAAATCACAATCTGCACAACACAGAAAAGAACTGGGGTGGGGGATCCCGAAGGCCTCGAAAGACACATACAAACCACCTGCTTTTCATATCACGAGTCCCAAAGGAGAGGGAGAACAGAACACTGGAAAAGATACTCAAAGCAAAGACAGCTAGAAACATCCTGCATCGGATTAAAGACATAAACCTACATATTTAAGAACTAAGCCGACCCCGATGGGAAAAACCAAGAAATTCACGCTACAACCTACACCAACGAGACTCCTGAGAACAAGAGACAAAGGCGATGCCTGGAAAACTCGGGGAGTGCAGGGGTTTCTGTGAGGAGAGCACTGGACACGGTGGGCTGTGCATTGGGCAACAACAGCGTCAGGCTGAGTGCTGAGTCCCGCGGCACACGGAGGGAGGAACACGTCGCGGAGAGGGGTCCCACTCCCACAAGCAAGGCTGGTCCCGCCTTGGGAATCCTTCGGTGCCGTCTGTCACATCGACAGGCTGAGGAAGTGTGGGGCCCAAGCTACGTGAGAACTGTTGGGGACCAGACTACGTGACTTAGGCCCACAGACCCGAGGCCGGCGTGACTCGCTTTAGGGATAGGAAAAACATGGAAGGCTGCAGGCTTCCCGACTACGCGGCCAAAGCTTGTAATCACAGGGCTCCTATGGCAGGAGGAACGCAGGAGCCAGGTATGGGGAAGGACTTGCTCCCAATTAACTTGTTTTCTTTGTGAGGACTGACTTGATCTTCGTGCTGTGTTTTATTTTGTTTTTGGTACCGGGGATCGAACTCGGGACCTTGAGCTCGTGAGGCAGGTGGCAGAACCATCGATCGAGCTAAATCCCCGGCCCCTGTTTTACTTTATTTTAATTTATTTATTTGAGCCTCGTTCTTTCTCACCCCATTCTTACTGCCGTCGCCGTTCCAGGAAAAGTTCATCACCCCGACCCCTCCGCTTCCTGCTGGCCCACGAAAGTGTGCCGACTGCAGAGTGATGGGGTCTGTGCACGCTTCTCCGGGGCCTTTCATACCTTGAATACTATCTTTGTGTCTCTACTCCCTGTCGTCTCCCTTACAGGAACCCTAGGGTCGGATCAGCCCCTGGCAAGGAAGAAAATGCGGAGGACCAAAGCCATCAAGGCAGGAAAACACTGAACAAAGTTCAGCACTCGCTCACGACAACCTGAGTTCTCGACTGCTTCTTGTTCTCACGGCTATGAAAAGTGTGAAAGGGATATTTGGGTAGCTTCCTTTTCTTTTTTTTTTTTTATTGGTTTGTTTGTTTATTTAAAAACATTTTTTGAGACAGGATCTTGTGGTCTAGCCCAGACTGGCCATGAACCCTTGATGATCCTCCTGCCTCAGCCTCCCTAGTGCTGGGATTATAGGGGTGTGCCACCGTGCCCCACTATTTTTTTATTTTAAAATAACTTTTATTAGTACGTGTTTGTGATACACAGTGACTGCATTCTTTGTGAGGAGATGGTCCGTGGAGTGCACACGTTAGTTCGTTTTATGTCCCCTCCCCGCCCTCCCTGACCCATCTCTCGGTCTCCTTCCCTTTTACAAAAATCCACTTCCCTCCTTCCTATTACCCACCTTTTATTTTGCTTTTTATACTTTTGTAAGAGAAACCATGCCACATTTAAGCTTGTCTATCTGATTTATTTCACTTAATGTTATGCTCTCAAGGTGCATCCGTTTTCCTACAAGCGATTCAAGTTTACCCTTCTTTGTGGGAGAGCGGTGCCCGCGTGTGTAAACCCCACACTGGGAGCTGAGCTGCTAGGGCTGAGTGTAGGCAGAGCACGGTCATGCGATGCATTTCCAACCCTATGTCCTTGGAATTATATCACAGATGCAGAGCGGCACAGAGACACCTGCATGAGGGCATCTGTCACCGAGCCCTGCAGCCAAGGACTACTGTTTCCAAACAACTTACGGAATCCTCCTTGTTTGACTTTAACAGTAGCTGCTAATCCCAGCCGCCCAAAAACACACGCCATTTACCACAGCTCCATCCCAAACAGACGAGGTGCCCTTTTGAGGCCGCCTGTCATCTAGGTGCACACTGTGTACCCCGAGGCTCCTCATCTCTACGTCTAATTTCCTACAATGGAAACGCACTGCTCATGCAGTCAGAAAATTAAACAGTTACTGTTGAAAAAGAAGGTGGGGTCTGGGCGCGACAGCCAAGGGCACCGGAACCTTTTAGAGCAACAGGACTGTTGCAACCATAACTGCAGCGGTGCTTACATCACATGGCTTGTCAGAATTCAAGCACTGCACACTACGAAAGGCGAACCAACCTGAACGGATATAAATGATGTCTTAAAAAAGAAAAGGCAGAAACTGAAGTCAGAGTGTGGGCGGTGCCCAGCTCTGGGGCTCCTCTCTGGGGTCCCCGCCACTTACATCAGCTCCCCGGACATCAGCAGGCAGATTTCAGCGTCCTGCCCCATGGGCGTGTCCTCAGTGTCCTCGGGGGTCAGCGAGTTTGAGGTGGTGTCCCTGAAACGTCACAGAGGAGAACAGCATCAGCTACCAGCACACGAGGTCCCACACCCTGAGATCCCGGCGCCGGGCCCTGAGCGACCTCAGAATGCGCAGGGAGTCTTGGAGGAGATGACGGCAGGCTTCAGGGACAGCGGCGGCGTCTCCTGGCGCTGGGAGGAGGGGAGCACCAGGCCAGGAGGTGACTACGCAGTGGCCTTGCCACCGGCACTCCAGCCTTCCATCCCTGCTACGGCCTCGGGACACGAGAATAGGGGCCAGAAGCAGAGAGACAGACTCACGCAAAGGGAACAGAGCCAGGACTCCACCTCTCTCCCCTCGTCTGCAACGGGAGCCACGGGCAGCACAGCCCTATGACACCCCCAGGTGTGCTCCATGGAACCCCGCGCTGGGGTGGCAAGCGCCACAGACTGTCCCCTCTCCCAGGAAGTCAAGGCGCACTTCGACACCATCCTGACGCCCGCAGGAAGACACTGGGATGTAAACTCTGCTGTTCCTGTGACTCTTTGGCCATGGACGTCTGCTCCCCAGGACACAGCAGCAGACCACAGCCCCCACACGTCAGATGGGGACCCAGAGCTGCAACAGGGCTGGGACAGAAGCAGAGGCTCTGACTCGCTCAGTGCTCTCCCTGCTGGGCCTGGTCCGTGGCCGATTCAATCTCGGGGACCCCGGAGCCTGACTGTCCCCCTCAAGGTCCCACCTCCACCAGATGACAAACGGGTCCAGAAGGGAAGGTGGTGCCCGCAAGGGAGGCTGGCAGAGGAAGATCTCCCCCAGAACGGCTTCTTCCCCAAGTGTACCCAGTCCTTTCTCAACAGCCCTGCAGGGCTTGCTCCAAGTGTCCCTAAGGGTGAGGTCAGCACGTCCCAAACTGTTCCTCCCAGGACTGCTCCGGGCAAGGCTGTCCCCATCTGGCCCCAGGCACCTGCACTCCAGCCTGGCTTCCGGGAACTGGGTCCTGAGGAGGCAGCCCGGGCCGAGCTGGGTCGGAGCCGTGCCCGGAAGTGCTCTCTGTGCACATATGGCTGTGGCCCCGCATGGGGACAGGGTGTCACCACACACAGCTCACAGGCGTGACGCTGGCCAGTGGCGAGGATGCAGGCGGTGGGCCAGGGGCTTTGACATGCATGCCACGCTCCAGGTGGCCGCCCCGGAGAGGTGCTGCTGTCGTCCTGGAGAATGAACAGACCCCAGTTCCCAGGCTGGGGGAGCTCAGAGCTCAAATCCAGGGCAGCAGAAATATAAACGTGCACCAGAAAACACCCTGAAGCCCGAGGGCTTCTGCCTGGAGGCTCTGGGCACCTCTGCTCAGGAGGGTTCTGACCGCACCGCTGCCCACGTCTTACACCCGGTGCACTGTGAGGGGCATGGGGTGCTTCATGCCCACCAGCCACACCCTGAGATGGCCCACCTGAGCCCAGGGGCCCCCAGGAACGTAGAAAGGAAAGAGAGTCAGTGAGTCCTGCCCCAACTGGCCTGGCTGCCCCTCGGCTGCGGGGCAGGAACGTTTGTGTGGCGCCTGCAGCAGAGCCGGGAGAGGGCAGGGGAAGCAGCCGGGCAGCACCGGAGTCCCCAGCCTCACTCCTCCCCACACGAAGCAGCAGCTCACGCCCCTGGCCTCACGCCCACTGCTACTCTTCCCGGCCTGGGGGAGAAGCTCGTGTCCTGCGGCCCCTGTCACCACCCTGCCGCTCCCGACCACCCTGGACAGGGAATCGCGGGGCCCCACTGTGAGTGACCATCAAGTCCAGCCTCCCTTGACGGTGGGAGGCAGAGGCCAGGGCAGAGCAGGTGGCCGGGACCACGCAGGCAGTGTCACCTGTCAACCTCGTCTGAAGAGTGCGCACCAAGAATGAGAGAAGAACACAGCCCCGGCCGAGGAGCGCTGCACTCCCACCACACCGGACAGCCAGGGCCTGGTTACCTGCAAGGGGTGGATTCTGAGCAGGTGCCACACAGGTCCCCATGGCAACGATTAGGGGCAGAGCGTGCTTTTCAATCTGTGGGCTGTGATCCGTTTAGGGGCTGTGAATCGACTTAGCAGGTTATGACCAACACAAAAGTGAAGCAAACGGGACGGGAAATGCCTGCTATAGTGCATTACGTGCTGTGAGGGTAAGAACTGTTTTAGGAGGCACTTGTTTCACCACATGAACAAGGAGTGACGGGAAAACACGGTAAATGTTTCCATTTAAAAATGTTCACTGCAGCCAAAGGCTCACTGCCACGAACGCCCCTTAAAAGCCTCCCTGTTGCGCTGCACACAGTCGTCCCGTCGTCCTGGCCCCTCTCTGCAGCAGCTCCGCAGTCCTCTTTCCCGAGGGTCCTCACGAGGTGAGGGACGATAAAAAGCCCAGTGACCGCCGCCCCCGAGCGCCATCGAGAGAAAGGCGGGATGGGTAAGAACACGGCGCTGAGTCCTCGCCCCCCTTACTCCCCGGATCTGGCACCGCGTGGCTCTGGCTCCTCGCCGAAGTCGAAATGACCACGACGGGTCAACGTCTGAATCCATTCAGGACACGGAGGCAGCCAGGGCAGCGCAGCTAAAGGCCCTGGGAGGGAGGACCGCGAAGTGGCGAGGACGGGAGGCGCGTGCGCGGTAGAAGGGAGGACTCTGAGGCGGCTTCGCGTCTTTCACGGTGGTAACTTTTAAACATTAAACACTGTTTTCATCACACCTCGCGTGCAGATGCGCACTGGGCCGCCAGGTGAAGGGCACCACTGGGGACGCGGTGGAAGTGTTGGCGACACAGGCTGACCACTAGAGGGCTCCCTCTGAGGTTTTCTAACCGGAAACCTCAGGGCCGAAGCGACCTCTGTGCCTGGCTGGCGGCGGTGGTGCCCACTGCTAGGTGCGCTG